GAATTATGCGAAGAGAATCAGATTGCCCTAAGGTATGTTTGGTATTACGAAGACCCATATGTAGTTATTCCTGAGCACCTTCGAGAATTGGGTCTTATTGAGTAAACTCAAAACTTTAAATACTTTTGAGATTTCACTTATTTTTTTCCGATATGTAGATGATGTAAAAAATTCACTGACCAGTGATAAAATCACAATTTGGTTAAGGTTTGATACTCCAAATTGCAGGAAATAGAATTATGACAAAAGCACAGGATAAAAAATGCAACCCGAAAAAGACTGATAAAAAATTAACTAGTCTTAAACATGTTCCTTGTTAATCTTATAGCAAACGAATAAATTTTATTTTTCCAATGCACATCACGAAAAATAATTCTTGATACTGAAACGCTATTTTTTTTTTATTTGTACAAAGCTAAGCATTATGTGATAATATATCTGATATACAGTAGTATGCAAAGCGACATTAAATATCGAAAAATATAGAAGAAAAATAACAATCCTCATACGTGATCATAATAATCTACAATTGTCTGAATTTGCGTAGTAGTGAGCTTCAAAATGAAACTTGCACTATACGACCTAATCCACTTAATTCTGTTCATTCCTATCTTTTTGAATAGGTTATAAATTCTTAAAGCCCCTTGTGTCTTATTGTGTACGGTATTTCTATTAAAGCTAGGAAGATGTTGCATAATGTTATCGTATACTACTTTCCAAACCGTTTTTTCACTACATCCCTGAAAATTCATAGTAGCATCTACCCTCTCCATGTATCCTTTACTATAATGATACCAGCACGAAATTTTCTCATGATTAACATTAATCATCTGTGTTTCTGCATGACATACTTTTCGAAACAACATAGTTAATAGTATTGAACCCTCAAATTCTTTTCCAGCATCATTATTACCGTTGGTTTTTTCATTGGGCGTGAACAATTCTCGTATCAACCCCTACAATATATTCTGCTCACGTAAAGATGGTGGACTTGATGAATATCTTCTTGATCGAGTTTGGGAATTAGAAGTATTAGAATTCGATTGATCTAGCGTAATAATCTGGTTCGTCTCCGTTTGTTCAGCTGGATCTATCAATTCTTCATCTCGTTATTCATGGTTGTGATCATTATCATAATCTTCTTATTCATGATCATGATAATTTTCATAATCTTCTTGTTCATGGTCGTGATCACCTACTGAAATTGTTGACTCATTACGATGGTGAATTTTTTTAATTACCTTAGCTACACGTGGATGATAACTACTATCGCGAACACGCCGACGACGAGGACGAGGACCAAGGCCTGAACCAAAACCTTCATGATTATGGTCATGTTCATCACCTTTATGATGATTATTTGTATTTTCATGATGATTATTGTCAACGGGAATGGCAGAATGAGCTCTTTGTCTATCATCATTGAGACGACCTTCTTGAATTTCAGGAGCAAAAATGTCATTACTATCATTATGGTGATTATTGTTATCGTGATCAAAGCCAAGGCTATTTCCGTGATTACTATCATTATTACGGTTATAATAATCATTGTCGTGATCATCATATTCGTAGCGCTCATCAGAATTATCAATAGTACGTTTTTTGTAGATCCTTGTTCTTCTAAACAAAATAAGCAACATAGTTTAGGAGAGATGCGTTCAAGGCACTGCCAGTGGAAAAGGTGCCCACAAGTTTATATGGTGATATGTTCTGTTAGTTGTGGAAGTAATTCTTTGCGACAGATGCCACAAAGATCTGACTTTTGATACTCTTTCGGGATTCGTCCGGGTGTTTCATAGTAAATAATTTTATAAGCGAATCTTTTCAGATGGGTCTACACAGAATTTTATAAACAGATTTGCTTAATGGATTGTATATACAACTACTGTATTATTTACTGCTCACTTACCCTTTTATAATCATTGATTACTCCTTTCCAGAAATATTGTAAAATGCCTCCGCGACGTTCTGATTTTACCTGTTGTGAGAGAGATAATGTTAGCAGTATGCCAACTTTTTATTAGTGATAAAGAAAGGTACATAGTCGATTCCTCCTCCAGAACAGTCCTTTACCAACAACAAAGTTTGGACGTCCGAATTAAGAACGCCTGGAGTGGGTACCAGTATCCAAAAAATAGTAATTCTCCTGAGTCAGGCCACGTCCAACTAGGAGTTGCCCTCCCTTTGCAAATAAAAAAAAGCACCTTTTCCTTCAACTTCACAAAGCTTTCTTCCCAGTTTTCCTGAGTTAAGATCTCTTTTGCTTCACATAGAAAGTGACAGAACCAAATGTTATCGAGTTCCTCAGTGTCAAGATTTGAAGATAAAGAGGTAATTATGACGTTGCAGTTTAGCTCCAGAAATCCGCTATAAGACTTTTTCACCTGATATCTTAAGTACGTGACAAGAGCTAGAAAGTTGAAAGATTAGTTAGAAACTGAATAATGTTTACCAAAGAAATTATAAAGCTTATCATCATAACCGGGGTAATTAAAACTAGAACTCATACTCATTGTTTGTAATCTTTATAATAATTTTTGAGAATAGAAGTTAGACGCGTACAGGAATTTCAGAAATTAAATACAAGACGCGTAAATTTCAAAGTCGCACAGAATCGATTAATGAATCAGCTAAATTAGATCCGAGCCAATATAACGGCTAAATTATTTTCAGATCTATCATAGATCAGATTAACTAGCCCTGTTCAGTTCTAGATCGGATTGTTCAGATTGGAAATTTTGCCCCTAAATTATTGGTTAAAAAACGATCAGTGATCAATCAATCTAATCTATAAAAATTGGTGTTCACCTCTGACGATTTTATTACAACAGATACGTCTTCGCGTCTAACTAAAATTTTTGCTGAAGTTATAACCTTTAC